ATGAGGCGACTTTGATGCGACGTCCGAAGGCGGACGGGGGGAGTGCGGATCTTGAAACAGGACGCACAAAACGAGAAGTGTACAACTAGGTACACAAGACCACAGGCCGAAACGCCTGCGTGTTTGGCTCAAGAAAACAAAGACCGCTTTCTGTGAAGCATGGAAACAATTAAGCTACGAGGGCCACAAAGCATCGACGGCCACTTCACGGGGCCCACGTTTTTTCGGTTGGGGGACCTGGACTTCAGCCCGTCAAAAAACAAGGTCGGCCAGGGGCCCTCTGAGCAATCATCAGCACCTTGACCCTCAAAGTACCTCGGAAAATGGGTACCTGTTCAAGGTAATTATATACCCCTAGGGCTCCTGGCCCACCTCCTGAGAAGGTGGTTGGGGTGGGTTTGGGGGGTCTAACCACCTTCTGAGGATATGGTTGGAGCCCTAGGGTACTATAAGAGAGTCAAGGCATACGTATTTTCGGACCTTCTTCCGACCAAGCGCCAAAGGAGTCAACATCGTGAGGGCTTTCTGGGAGTGTTTCTGGGAAAACCAAGGAAGGGAATGATTGATATTGCAATATGTATATATATATATATATGTATACCAGCAGTTCCAGAGGGGCGCTTCATGGAGGACAGGGGTGCCCTTCATCCACTTCTATGGATGGGTCGAGACAAACCACCCCTTTGTGACTCCTGGTATAAGTGTTTGTGGGGCTTCCGACTTTTTCGTGAGAGTGATCAATGAAATATGTTTGGTTACAATTAGCACTCTGTTGATGCTTTATGTGAAGGTTCAAGCAACACACATGTTTTAGCGGGGGATGGTTCGCTACTCTGCCGACCTTTCAGCTACCATTGCACAGCAAGTGACACTCACTAAGCCCCTACTTCACACACATCCTATTTTGTAAATCCACCTCTTGGAGCTGCAAAGGTAGATTCCTCTGTTTAGTCCTTGTTTTAGAACATAATCATACCCACAGAATAAACATCTTCTTGTTTGCGGGAGGGCACAGCCCCTTGATCTGAACTGTCTTCCTTGATCTTCTTCGTGTCACTCAAGTATCAACAATTTGCCACAACTTTTGGTATGTTGCAAAAACATTGTCGGGTATACTCGAATCGTTCAATTGATTTCCTGCATCTTCCAGTGTCCCGAAGCCTGACAATCTGCGAATGGCGAACAAACCGCCGCGAGGGATGCAGCTGGTGTGTAGCAGCCAAATATTTGTTCCTCTTGGTGTGACTATAAATATTTTCGTGTATAATATATATATATATAATTATGGTTTAACGGTTTATGTAGTCATTGTAACAAGGCCCTTCCTCAAAGTCAAGATGTAAACAAACGAATTCCAAGAGAGCCGAAGAATCTCGAAACATCTGAAGAAACATCGACATGTTCTCTCCTGAGACGCTTAGACTTCTGATCTGAGACCATGACCTCCTACCTTTGAGCCCCCATGGTCGGGACGCAGCGGCGAGATGGTCGGACGTCGGTGAGGGAGATGGTCGGACGACCCACAGCAGGGCCGGGAACCGGTTCGGGAAGTGGACCAGGAAATACCCAGCCAGAGCCCGAGGGTCTCCCTATTTAAATACACACTCTGTCCATCTCTGTCCTATCATATTACCATATGGGCAGGGGTCCCCCTATTCAAACACTCACTCTGTCCTATACCCATATTCAACCAAACAGTGCAGCGAGGGTCGGCAGCGTGAAACACGGAGCGAAACTCCGCGTTTGGTTCCGGTCAAGGCCACCGCTGAGTGAAACCACCGGTGATTGAAATGGGAAGGCGTTTTCAGAGCAGCACAATGTCTTTAAGGAACTCCTGGCCACAGAAGAGCGACTACGAACGACTAGCTTAATTTCCACTGTTTTCTTGTGTTTTGAATGTCTATTTTGTTGTTGAGCCTCGTCTGTTGCTCTTCTTTGGTTCAAACTGGTTTGTATCTCTTATCTATTTGTTCTATGTGTCTTTACTTTTTGACCTCTTCTTCATAATTGTAGTGTTGTTCACCAGCCGTTTCTATACTTTGCTGAAACAGTGGCCCTTCCAAACAGAAAAAGGGTTGATTGGCCGCTATCATTGCTGTGCATGTCACAACGTATTGATTTTACTCACCTTGTTTGAATCAACAGTGGCTCTTCCCTTCCTCTCTTGGATAGGTTGTTGATTTTAGACGGGGCCTTTGCACAGCATAGATACCTTAGACAAAACCTTCCAATGTTCTGAGTTCTGATCCTTACAAAGGAGCAACAATTTATGAAGCGTACGCGGATCTCCCTCAATGGAGAACACCGAGAACAGCCAGGACACCTAAAAAAACGGTCAAAGTCAAGCATCTGATCAAGAATCTAGAGTTGCAAAAAATATGCAAAAACATGATGTATATAAGCCTAGTCGGCCTCGGGGAGGTTGAGGATTCTAGATAAGGTGGGATGCTTCTTGTGAGGTCAAAGTCTTATGAAAAAAGAGGCTTGTACGCAGGAGAAGAGGGTGTGTATGATAGAGAGGAAGGAGGAGGGTTTCGGATAAGGTAGGATGCTTGTATGTAGCCGTAGGTTCAGTAAAGGAAGGTGTGTTTCTCAAAAAACTAGGTGAAGGCACTTTTAAAAATCATCCCACTTGAAAAGCATACCCGCTTGTTAGAAGGACACGAATCTGAAGGAAGGAAAACCGACCGATCCTCGGACCGATCCTCTATCTTTCAAGCTATGCTGGATCTGTTTGATCTACAGTATACTTCAATTGGGAACATGTCATGGTTTTTCCCTGTGTTTCCTTTCCGCAACTTAACACACACACACACACATCGACCACTCTGGACCCAGGCCCTCTCGAGTCGGGCGGTTTTTGCATCGCATTCCGTGCACGGCGGTGTTCGGTCACGCCGGAGGTGCTGCAGCGGCCGAGGCGTTTTCTTCTCATGCATGGCCGGGGGTTGGCCGAGGTGTCAGCTGAGTTGAGAAAAAGGGAGCACACAACTTTGATCGAAATCTTTGAGGTGGATAGTCCGGTCGACTGTGGATGATGGGAAAGAGGTGGACAAAAAACTTTGCAATACTTTGCACAATCGCATTGCGAAAGCACACTCCCTATGGATCCACATCCTCTCCGAGAAGGTGATTGAAGACACTGTTATGCAGGTGCCTCAGAATGTCTTTTGATCCCTAGGGACCTAGAGAGTTGTAAAAGTGCTTTGCCAACGGACGTGGATCGCCGCAGCGTGAAACATCTTAAAATCTCTGCGTGTGGGACGTGGATCGGCGCAGCGTGAAGGATGCTCTCTCCTGGGAGGGCTTCCCAGAAGAGCGTGCTAGGTACCTTCATGAAGACAAAAAACACATGCACATATATATCGATGAGATAAAAGCCACGCACATACTCCTCTGTAGGAGAAGATCTTGACAGGAAGTCTGAACATGTTGTTTACAGTTAATTCTACATCTATTTCAGCGGCTGGCTTGCACGAAAAGGTGCCAAAGACTGTAAAGCCATTGTGTGGAGAAGACATACATCCAAGTCGAATCCTTCAACAGTAGCAAGACTCCAAGTATCTCGAGGTATACACAGCTGATTCAATATAGGCAAAGGACCGATATTAGTTTGCTGTAGACAAAGTTGGCCCAAGATGCTTGAGATCTTTTGCAACATGTTTGTCCAAGAAAAGGAAGGCTCCAACAGGACCAGGTCAGGTCATCCATGTGGTCTCGGGTCGAATTGCCTTCCAAAACAGACTATGGCCAACACAAAATCCTTCCACCAAGTCCCTACACAACTAGTATATCAGTATATATCATGTTGTAGGATATGACGAGTCATGGGCTGATCCACATCCACATCAGATCCGACCTGGCGCGACCGACCGAGGCGGTTTTTTCCGGGTGACACGGGTCCGGCACGGGTCCGGCACGGGTGCGCGGTTTGAGCTTTCTGCCCAGCCGCGACCCTGGACCCTGTCGGGCTCGAATCCTCGGGTCAGGGGTCTGGGGTCTCAAATCCCTAGGTTTTGAGGGAGTCGGGCTGTGAAAGGAGCGTCTGGGTGAGGGAATTTATGGAAATGTCGGTCCGGGGAATGTGTGTTTTGCCGTGAGACACATCGGTCACCATATCATCTGAGTCTTAGGCATTCGAAACATCATTGCACTATGATACGTATGTCTTGACAAAAGAAACAAACTGTACTCTTGTCATCTCTTGTCTGAATAACATTACAGTAACCGTAACCTGTTTGGTGGTGCTTCTGTTGTCTTTCTTGGAACATAGGTACACCATGTATTAATCTCTAAGTACACCTGGAAGTCAATCAGCCCACTGGATTGGCTAAACAAACACAACTCTGCTTTAAGTCGAATAAACTCAGAGGGATCTTTGAGCAGTAATGAACTCCTCCACCGGAACCGGCAAGCATCTCTTTTCCCTTTTCTTTTTTGACTCCCTTCTTTTGGCAGCTCCTCCTTTGCCAACGCTTAGAGCCAGCTATGTACAAGTTATTCAGCTACTGCTATTTCCTAGAAGTCCAAAGACTATATTTCGCCCAACCCAAGTAAAGGAAAATCCTCTTCGGGTCACCAAGTCAGAGCATCCCTTGAATATCTTCGAGTCTTGGACTCCCAGGGTATTTGGAATAACCAAATGAACCATGAGTCAGGATCGCCTTTCTTGCTCGACATGGTAAACATCCGCCGAGCCCAGGCCGAGGAAACCCCGGCCATTTGGAGGACCTGAAATAAAGAAACCGTTTCTTCTACCAGCACCTTCCAACAGGTCTCCTTTGGAGGGTTGTTAGGCCCTAACAGGTTTCAATTGGTGACCTGTTGGAGGTGCTGGTAGAAAAGTCCGTCCCCCAGCATGGGGAAACTACTCTTGCAGGATGCATCAGGTCCTCCTTCAATGGTACCGTACCCCAAAAAAGGATCTCCAGGTACCTCCTTGTCAGATGTCCTCATCACGCATTCTGCTTCTTTTTGATCTCCTCGTCCGGTGATCTCCCTCAGCGTCGCTGATAGATCCAGACTTGGACCGCCTGGACGGTCGTGAAGCGACGGAAAAAAAACGATCTCTCCATCCGAGTTCAGCCGATGTGTTGGAGAAGAAGAAAGCATCAAACACATCAAACTAGTGTATAGTATTGTAGTCCGGTTTCTTCCGTGTGTGTGTGTGTGTGCGTGAGTTCCTGAGACTGACCTCAAGCAAACAAAACAACAACCCGGCTTCAAAGGGTACCGCTTCATCATTGTGTCCCACATGGCTGTGCAGTAAGAAACTGCAAAAAGTCCAAGCAGACCTATAGAACACCCAACTGCACCTACACAAAGACACAAATCCACATCAAACGTGCAAATCTACCTTGCCAAACTTGACCACACCTTGACACTTGCACACACACACAGACTTCAAACCTTTTTGCTTCATACTCACAGCCTCTCGTGCAGAAAACTGAGCTGCTTACTTTGCGGCTATGCTTGGTCCGTGTCCCATGGAATCCTGCACTTTTCCCACACAATTTCCTCCGCAGTATCCTGCAAAAACAAATCACGCTTTTGGGGCATCTGCTGCGAGCACTGCACAGTCGCACCAAAAGACGATGTTTTTTTGCACATCGTGGTCCCATTGACAACCTTTACAGGAAAACTGGAGCATTTGATGAGAATGCTGTAGGGTTTGCTTGGCGTGAAAAAGCCTACATGGAAGAGGTACAAACAAACTTTTCTAGACTCAAACCAGAGGATCAAGTTCGGTCACTTTGGGAGTCTGGCGAGAAACTACATCCTACAGGGAGTCTGAAGAGAAACTACATCCTACTGTAACGACATGTAAAGATGTTCTCAGCAGAAGGCAGGTGGATCTCTCAGGCATGTCTTTCTGGCACACTGGTACACCTTCTTTGATCTCAAGAAGAGAGCTGAAGAATAAGCATGTATAGATAGTTTGAATGTCTTCAGTCGACGTTGCAGTTGTGTGTTCATGATCTGTCCGAAAGCAATGAAGCTCGTCAACATGAGCCCTAGCGCCGCCTTCTTGTCGGTGAAGCTCAGCAAACATGCGTCCCCACGTACGTCAAAGCGTTGCAGGAGCTCCAAGTCGTCCGCTGGCAAGCGTCGGGCCACTAGGACCAAGACCTGGCCAGGTTGCCGGAGAATAGAACAGTTCAAAGAAATGCCGTAGTAGTCTTAGTGGTGGTGGTAGTAGTAGTGGTAGTAGTAGAAGTAGAAGTAGTAGCAGAAGCAGGAGTAGTATAGGAGTAATTAGGAGTAGGAGTAGGAGTAGTAGTAGTAGTAGGAGTAGCAGTAGTAGTGGTAGTGGTAGTGGTGGTAGTGGTAGTGGTAGTGGTAGTGGTAGTAGTAGTGCTGGTAGCGGTGGGGGTAGGTGTCGGAGTAAATGGAGAAGGAGCAAAGGAGTAAAAGGATCAGGAGTAGGCGTAGGCCTCGCAATGGGAGTAGTAGTATCATATGGAGCAGAAGTAGGACGAACAGCAGGAGGAGGAGATGGCAGTGGTGGTGGTGGTGCTCCTGCTGCTGCTGCTGCTGCTGCTGCTGCTGCACTAACGGTATAGTGATTATCTGATAGTTGGGATGACCTGTACTACACTGCGTACTATCACAAGCTTATATAAGACCGGAAAGTTCAACTCCAAAATCCAACGAGAAAACGAGTGGTCGCCGACGGTCACCGTTGTGATCCACGTGCTGGGCATCAAACACCCACAAATTCCAAGAGTTCAATGAAAGAACCACCTACGACGCTGGGATCTGGGCACTAAGGCCATTTCTTGATCTAAGGCAAGGCACTGCACCTTTCTTCAGCTTTAAGGCCAATTGACCTCGGTGGCACGTCCGGATCGGTTGACCCCAGGGCCGACCTCTCTACGGATGGGTTGACCTCTCTGCTCATAGTCTGCTCATGTTTCGATGGTCAACCGGCCGGTCCCCAGGTGTTGACCTCTCCTCCTTTGATGAACCATTTGCGCATGAGACTCTCATGTTCAAACGGCTTCCTGTTCGAACTCTAAAGCGGACAGTTGCCGCCCAGAACCCCAGGCGGACACCCAAACACACAGACTCGCGAGCCCTGTAAGAATGATGGGAAAAAGAAATCACTCCGCTGTTCCACTGCTTCTCAGTGCTTCAAGAATCAGCTGCCTGTGGGGTCTATAGGATTCCAACCAGCAGCCAACTTCCCAACATGTCAAACTTAAAACTACGGCTTAACACATTCTAAGACCTATATGATCCTATATATGCACGAAATGAAGTGTGTCTTCCAGTTTCTGCCGACTTAGACAAACCTAATTACTCTTCTGTCTGGAATGAAGCTGCCAACGCTTTGGGGATCTTGGGACAAGCAAGGTCGACCTGCTCAAAATCCAACGACCCAACCCACGGTGGACCCACCACACCAGGCGCCAATGTTCGACACTCTTGCGGTGGACATGGGTCAACTGCCGTGTTGGGAAGGCTCAGTGACCGAGGTCGGATCCCCCAAATAGGTTCCTGGCCCCAGCCGCAGTTTTCGGTGAAGGTGCTTTTCGTTTTCGATTTTTTTTGGTGGGGGGATGGATAGGAGCCCAAACAGGATCAACGGCCCCAGCCACAGACCAACAACAAAACCCTTTCAATGTGGATGAGACCGAAAAAGATCTAAAAAGCCCAATCCCTTGGTGTTTCCCTGGTAGGTCCAGTTGGTCCGCATCCTGCCCTCCCCTCATCCTCGCGTACCTCCGCCCGAGGCGCCAATCTCGGCCAGAAGTTCCGAGGGCCAGGTGACGCCGTTGGCGAAGACGACCGAGGCCGAGGTCCAGTGACCTCGGACAGGCGATGTGGCTAGGCGGCTTGGAGTTGGAGTTGGCTGGATGAGGCCGGGACGATCAAGAAGGTTTGGGGATTAACAGGGAACAAGGAAAGGACACCATTATGAGGAATCAGTCTCAATCAGCCACCAATTGGCTTCTTTTCCACCATTGCCATGGATGGCTGCCACAAGAGCAACGACGGCGTCCTTTGTCAGGACACCATGAATTGCGTTTCAAAGGACTCCCCCATGAGTAACTCTTCCACTTGTTCATCGGCGGCAACCATCGAATGGATCAGTCTACCGTTGAACGAAGGATATGACGGGCCAAAGATCAGCTTCCACATCACATCTTAACCTCCCCATCCTCCTAAGTCAGTCGTTTCATCACCATTCTACCTAATTAAGCTAAGTATATCGCCCAAGGAACTGGAGCTGATTGGATGCAAAAAGTCCGAGGCTTCCAGGAGCTTCAAAGGGTTCATGGAGCTTTTGGCCTCGGATGTCTTCCATCGACGACGTCCCCGACCTCCCCGAAGTGAACTCCTGCGAGGTTCACCCGTTCACCCGTTCCGTGCCGGCGCCGGTTCAACGTTCGAACACATGGACCAAAACAGGGTGGCAGTGGATCCCACATAGAGCATCATAGAGCAAATGTGGCTTGGTAGAACCAACAAAATCGACCCTCCGAACTAGTATGGCTTTCGACCAGGCTTTCGACTTCGCGAGGGCGTTGGACCCGAACCAAAAACCACCTTTGAAATCAGCGCCCCAGCTTCGTTCTGTGGATCTATTGCTCTGCCTACGCTCAGTGTCTTTCAACACGCCCAATCACGCCCAGGTGGTCTCGGGTTGCAGACGGAACTGATGACGACTGAGGACTTGAAAGCTGGGAATGTCATTGCCTATGGATCCACTACCACCCTCGTTCCGAAGGTGAGGACGGAGACACGAAGCACGGGTCCAGTCACAGTGAAACGTTTCGGTATGTCGACTGTGGCCTTCACGGTGAAACGGTGAAGGGACTGGTGTCCTGGTCACAGAAGGTTTCAGGAGGTCAAACCTGGGACCCGAAAACACACACACAAACACATCAGATCGGTTTGGTGTAACCCGGGTCGAGTACCGGCGATTTGGAGCGACGGTCGGTGGAAGTCTTGAAGCCTCGTCTAGTAGACGCAATCGGGAGAAATCAAACGGCCAGCTTCAACCATAAAGCCAATTCTACAATCCCACACGGGGTGTGTTGGAGCAACTGACCTCTGTTTGGGATTCTAGCGTGCTGAGTAGTGGCAAGTGGCCCTCGTCGTGTAGACGGTTGATGAAGAACCCCCCTAACTACAGTAGATCCTACTATTTTAATTAGAATGGTGTTCTTTTTGATATGACAGGGGTGATTCATCAACAATCTACCTAGCCTAGCAGAACTGCCCCACTCGCTTTAAGGATGTGCCGATCGAACGCTGAATTGCACGACAGCTTGCATCCATGACCAATCCACTCCTGCTTGGATTGGACGAAGTGCTGGAAAAAACCGAGGGAAATCAGTGCCAAAATCACAACAACTGGATCTTGGAGAAACAAACACAAAACACTACCTCTTGAGCACAAGAAAAGGTATCGTTTCTCAAAAGTTCTGCTTCGTCAAAATTAAACCAACCAGTGCAAACAAGCACGAGCAAGATGGACAATAGAGCAATGACGCTCAGAAAAAATGACAGGGACACACTGAGGCTGAGGCACACATAGGGTTGCATAGTGTTAAATAGAAAATAGAAACAACCAATCAAAATGTTTTTCATTCCAAGACTCTGCATGTATTCTCTCAGGGCCTTGTAGGCCGCAGCCATGGCTTCTTTGTCAATCTCATATCCTCGGAGCAAAGACTTCCTCTCTTCATCTCTTATGCCAGGCTCGAGTTCGTCTAAAAAGAATGACCGAGCAAAAAAAAACCATCGTCCAAAACTGTCAGCTCACCAACTTTCTGCTACAGCTCACTCTTCAAAAACTTGTTAAGCAAACTATACTTCTGAACCCAAAGAATCAATGTATATACTTACCTACCTACCAGCAGTCACAAAGGGGTGCTTAATGGAGGTCAGGAGTGCCTATTATCCACTCACTTAGGGACTAAACACCACCCGTTTGTGACTCCTGGTATATATGTTTACCTTATATATATATATATATATTATATATTATACATTTGGGGCCATGAATTGTGTAGATGCATGCAGTTTAACTTGTTCCGTAATTACCTGGCTGGTCTTGGATTTAGCTCTCTCTCTCTCTCTCTTTCTCGCTCTCTTCCAACCCCGGAATCCCAGCAGCCGACGCAGTGCCGGAAGGGAAACAGCGCGTGCGCCGCCAGCACCGCATGGCCGCGGCCACTGCCCAGGTCGGCGAAGCTGCGGTAGATATCGGCCTGGCCGGTGGGTTCAGTGGCCGGTGGGTACCCATGCAGTCTTCAACCACGGCATCTGTGGAGCGAGCCCGGTTTGTGGATCGAGCCCGAACACCGGGGTCTATGGAGCTAACTTGTTTTTCCACCAACTCCGCCCATCCGACTTGAGTCAGCGACGATGAATCGCCGGAAACACAAGCAAAATTTTTTTGTTGCTCGATCCATGCAGTTAACAAGAACACCTTTCTTGCCAGCTGTTGCCATCTATTTGAGGGGCACGTAGTTCCGCGTCCACTTGTATTTTGGTCGGACACATAAGCTCGCTCTCCACGTGGGTCTTTTAGACCCTCCGATCACCCAAGAGACATTCCCACCTTCTCCGCTGATCTCCGATGTTCATTGCAAGTCCAGGGTGGAAAATGCTGATCAACACTATACGCTAGGGCTCCAGTCGTACCTCCTCAGGTTCGCTACGACTGGATCAAAAACCCCAGCACCAATCCCTAGGCTCAGTGTCTCCTTCCTCACTGTCACCTTCTCAGAGGGTGGCTGTGGATCCCCAGGGAGCGAGCGATCCTTTGAGGAGCTGGGCACATGCTGCGTCTGTCACAGCGCCTGGGGGTCGGCACGGCGGCAAATCCGCTGCAAAAGCTCCTGAGGAAACGGCCGCATAGGAATGGATTTGGAAAGCGTCCGGATCCGTCATCACCGTCATCATTGAGAAATTTCATGAAACAAATTATGAACAAAATGTGTTTGACATGGCCATCTGTTCGCTTCTTTTTCTGGGAACAGAAAGAGAGGATCAGGTCACTGCCACTGCCTGCTGGACCGGGAGGTTTGGTTCGGCACAGCGTGGTTGCGTGGTTTCACGGAGCGTCTGGGCTGGTCCGCGTCTGGGGGGCTGTGGGGTGTCTGATCCCTATAGGCTTCCAAGACCATGAAGGAATGCCAACTTCAGGCACTCAGATATGCAAGATGATAGCAACTGCAAGACCATGAAAAGTCAACTTCTTGGAGATCGATGGCTGGCTGAAGAGCCAACTCGCTGGCAAGGGCAAAGGCGGACCCTTTGCTGATGACCCCAACGATGAGACCTGGAACATCAACGACCGAAAGGTTGACCTGGTTTCGTAGTGTAAAGCCCTTTGTAAAACAATGGTGGTTGGAATCCTAGGGTTATAATAGCCCCTTAGAGTCTTAGAGTCTGACCACCCCTTTGGGGGGCCCTGGTAGTGATCCATGTACACAGGTAACCAGTTGCACTTGGACAAAACCATGGACCAGACGGGGGCTCTCTTTCTGTGCATCTAGTTCAGGTAGACTACAAACTTAACCTAGAAAGTCGCAAAAGAACACCTTCAAACTATAACTATTAGAATGCACTTGTGGCTAGTAGCGATTCACTTGTCGCATGATTCTGATACTGGCAGATCTTATAGTGGAGCCTCTCGGCTGAACAGCTTGACCCGTGGGTGGTGCCGAGGCACTGCGAAGCTGACCACGTCCACCGAGCCTTCCGTGAATTGGCCCTGCTTCTTGCCGATCTCGTTCTTGCAGTGGGGCACCAGTTGCTCGAGCTCCTGCTGGTCGGTGTGTTCCTGGATCTATATAAACGTGAGATATCGATATCTGATACGGTCGGCTCTTGAGAATTCCTATCCCAAACACGATATTGGGACCGTCATGTTCTACCTAGATGGATCTAGATGGGGGTGGTATATACCATATAAATGGATGGTCTGGGTATAGGAGGCTCTGAGTCTGAGTGGGATTTACCTAGAATCTCATGGGTGTTTAACATGCTTTAACTACCTGTTGAAAAGCTACTTGTGTAGGATTTGGGCTCTGACTGCCTCACAGGATGTAGTTGGAGCCCAAAGGAAAGGACTTGGGGCTAGTACCCCCAAAAACACCAGAGATCCTGAACCTCAAACTAATCTGGTTTGGTTCAGGTACAGGCCCCCGCGAACGTGTCGCGTCCAAGGATTTAGTATGACCACCGTTAAAGGATCTCCACACTCCACATCCCAAGATCTGCCAACCAACCGCGCGGTGTCCAAGCCTTTGCCACCCGCATGTCAAAGATGTCGCCCTGTCGGAGCTCTTTGGCCTTGGCTTTGAAGGCGAAAACGAGGCGGATCCTGAGGCCAAAAATGAACCATGACGGCCCATCATGAAAAAGAGATGGATCCTCTTCCGATCTTGGATCCTCCCCCTCTGAGGGTTTCATGATGACCCAGCTCTTCAAACGCGGGGCCCGTTTGACCCGTTTTGACCACTGAAGCTCCAACGAGGTGGATCCAATAGGTGGGGCGGCTGGACTGTGAACACATGCAGCCTCCAACCCCTCTCCAGTCTGTAGCTGTTATATGGCAGGCCAGAAAAGACATAATACGTGTCTTTTAAAGGCCAGCCCCCGTGGTTATTGATGTTATTGTAGTTCAGGGCCGCATCTTTGACACGCGGGTGTCTTTCTTACTCCTGAAGAGTAGAAAATCTGATCATCCACCATCCACGCCATGTCTTTGAAAAACAATACATGGTGGCTCCATGTGAGCCCATCTTGGGAAAGTCCGCCCCAAAAACTGGCCTCCTTCCACTCCTTCACAGCAAACACACCAAAACGATCTGCTCCCATCGCTGGCGATCTGAAGCTGCGACGCCGCGTCCGCCGCGGAGCCCAGCGCGAAGAGGTGTGACGCGGCAGAGCTCAGCGCGGAGAAGGTTGCCCACTGGAAGGGTCGACGAAGACCGCGCCAGAGCTCGACCTCGGCGCGAGCTCAACCCCATAAGTAATTAGATGTTCTTTGGGTCCCTTTGGGTCACCTGAAATTCATTCAGCACCTCCTGCTGGGGCGTACCTCATTTGTGGATCGTCACAGTCTAAAAGAAGGGTTCTTCAACCTCTACTCAGAGCAGTCAAGTGAGCGAATCAACACAAGAGCACCCCACTCTGGTGTTCGGGGTTCGACTGCATCCCACTCTGGTGTCGAACACATCAGCGGACCTGATCCCTGGGCCTCCTGGCCGGGGCCTCACTCTGATCAAATCACCTGCATCGATGCGCTAGCAGAACAGTCCCCATGGTTCAATGACGAATATAGTGGATGCTCACCTTCGATCTACGAATTGGGGGATCATGTTTTGCAACGCCTGGCGCCACAAGAAGATGATCTCTTCTAACAGCTGCGTGGTTTCAAGGAGTCTTGAGGCTTCTGAGTGTAGCACCTGTCCAAAGAGATGAGTTGAAAGTCAATCCCCATCTAACCTCTAAGGTCCAGGCGATGGTCCTACCCTTCACACATGCCCAGGCGATGAGTACCGGGTCCGATACCACAGTTCCGACCCTCGACAGCCGGGACCCTGAAAAGCGACAGCTCCCTTGATACGAGCAAAAGTTCTTGGTAGCAAATAGAGTCAAATAGATGCATATAGCAGTACATGTCTCCAAAACAGCTGCTCGTCCATGTCTCCCAAAACTCCAGGTGAGGGTGTTGACTTCGCAAAACCCTTACCGACCCTCAGGGTCGACGATGCTCCCCCTCGTCGAAGGTCGAACCACCTTCTGAGGTCGGCGCCAAAGGAAAGCCATGGATGGAGGCCCAAACCCGAGTTTCGATGTCCAACATATACCTCAGACAGATCTCAACAAAGCAGATCTGACCAAGATAGTAAAGAACACATCAAGAGGAACGTTACTATATTATCTCTTCTCCAAGAAGAAACCGTTTCGAAAAGAAACAGAAATGGGTCTTACTGTCACTGTGTGTCCTTTCTTCTTCTCTGAGTTACATGGGTCTATTGAAACAAATGGAGATGCTCGAGAGACTTCAAGTATGTTCAAATACTTTAAGGTCGCAGATCATGACCTGGCAGTGAAAGTGTGGGTGTACATGCATGGTGGATTCGTTGGAACAAAATAGAGTCGGGGCCTGGCACATCGACCTTGGTCGTCCTGAAAGGAGGTGGCCTGATTCCAAGATCCGGCACCAATAATCACGACTTCTCAGAGTGCCCTTGGACACTCCAATCAGATTCTCAAAGGGTGGCAGTGATTCCGCATTTGCCACTGAAAACAGGGGACCAGTCAACCAACCAGTGCACTGGCACACACTGGCAGTACGGAAACACCCTAATCCAGGCGGTGTGTATAGCAGGGAGACCGTCCCAACCAATGGGTGTTGCAATTTCCCGAACCTTCCAGAGGGTCGTTGCCTGGGAGGTCTCACGTCTCCCTATTTTTTAATACACATCCAGGACTCTTGGCCGACACGTGTGGGTGTCACCGTCGGCTCCGTTCAATCCGATCCGTAGAAGCAAGCCACGTGTGGGACCGTGAAACAAACCGTTCAGGCTGTGTAAAAACAAATGTGCCAGGGTCGATCCAAGCCTTCCCAAACCATCCATGGGACAGGAAATGACAGGAACAAGATGCCTGCATCGACCCCTTTTCAACCACCCCAATGTAGGCAAATAGGTCCGGGCTTGGAAGATGTGATTGTTCACATAGCGACGCTTGTATGCTAATTACCTGACCTCGTCTCAGCTTCTTTTATCTTCTTTTCTTCATCCCTTATTGACTCGAGACGACTCGACCAGGGGGTCTCAACCTGGCCACGCGTGTCCCAAACCACCTCTCACCCACCAGGAAGCGCTTCAACCCGCGCTACCAGGAAACCGTGACCCAGGAACCATCTCACCTGTGCCGTGGTTGGGTGATCAATACGATGAACATCCAGTAACCCTCAATTAGGAGGGTCAGAACCATGTCCCTTCTGGTTGCCGGGTCCCTCTTCGCAGTGGTTGCGGGGTGTTTTCCGCCCAAATGATCCGGTGCAAAGTTACGGCCTGCATGACTCATGGTTTACTTGCATGCATCGTCTGGGTGTTGTGTTACTGGTCTTTGGAAAACGCTGCTTGCTGCAGCTTGCTGCATGGTGTCTGCACGGAACCCCCCACACAGTCGCACAAACCATCCGGAGAAAACAACATGTTGAAAACGACTCGCTGCGAGTGGCAGGACTTGACTTGCCAGCAACGCAATGGGATCGTAATCGAAGTCCTCGGGAGTCAGGAACTGAGCCCCCTGGACTTCCCAGGTCGATTCAGCGGTGTGCGTGCATCTACAGAATGTCACAACCTCACCGTGAATATCACAAAAAACTAGGATTGAGTTCCAATTAGTTCAAACACCTGCGGTGTAAATGCCATTCTGAACCTATAATAAATGCCACGGTTCAAGACCGAACTAAGAAGACCTGCAGTGTATAAGCTTTCTGAACCCATATGTCCCCAGGGGCTGTCTGTATGTCAGCCCAGCGACCGGGCGCCCAGTTGGCCGTGGCCCCGGCTGCGTCTCAGCCAGCGCGGAGCCGCCGAAGAGCTGCCGGAACCTTGGGGAGGTCGTGGGCCGCGAGAGGTTCAGATGACCTGAATTGGTACATATTCCCTCCTGAGGTTCGGTGGGACTGGGGTGGGTTTGGAGGGTCCAAATACCTGGTGTCTGGTGTCTAAGATATTTGTAGTACGAATGTAGTTCTTTGAAGCAGCTTCTGGGAGCTGTGGCCTCATGAAAAAGGAACCGACGGGGGGTATCTGGGATAGTCAAAAAAGGGGTTCTGAAGAACCTCTGTTCGTGGCTTCAACTTGCTTTTTCTCAACATTGACCGATAAACCAACAAACGATTTCGACCGGCACTCAAACGGAACCGGCTTCAAAGTTCACCCTCAGCCCGATCCGATCCCATTCATTCCTGGCCCCAAGCATCCATGTGCCCAATGATTGACCTATTTGGGTCATCCTGTCTGGGTGTCCAATACCCTACACTGCGGACGTGGACCTCCAAACAGGGCACCCAGACAGGATGATCCTGGTACATTGGGTTGTTGAGAAGGAGGCACATATTCCAGTCCCATGGATGGTCTGGGAAAATAGGACATGACATCATGACTCTATCAAAAAAAAGGTATGTCCCTGTTTTGAAAGGTACTTCGAGACTGCAGGTAGCCACGGCTGGTCTATGAACAAGGCAAACAGGGTGGATGTTTGATTAATAATGCATATTATCCTATGAGAAGCAAAGCACTAACAATTTGTAAGCTCCGGTATGAAACATGGCTTTTTCAAGAGAAGAGATGGAAAACATGGTCTTTCCCTAGGGGTTGATCCTCTAAACCCTCCCCAAACACCGAAATGGAGCTTGCGAGAACCCCAGTTGTGTCATGGCTCAAATACAGTCTTTCCATGTCTTGCCAATGGTTGCTCTTAGATCCTCCAAGTACCGTGGGAAAAAAGGGGGTTGAACCGAACCCCTGTATTTTTGAGTGCGGGTACGGTGCCGGGGTCAGTTGATTCCTGCTTGTTGTCACTTCTGAAACCCCTCGAAGTCGGTTTCACACTTCATCGAAACCGTTCCACTACCGTGTTCCGCCACCGTGACCCGCCACCCTGTCGGAACAGTGACCCACCACCCAAGGGACACTTCTGCGCGACCGTCAGAGGTGGGCCGCACACCGCAGCTGCAGTGGATGCTGTCGAGGTCATACGCAAGTCCTGCTGTTTTTTTTTCCCAGTCATACGTTCGAAATCTCCTAGCTAGCGTCCTTGCTCCTAGTAGTGAGGCCAGGAGCCTCTAGTAGCATCCTTGCTCCTAGTAGCGATGCCCTTTGCTCCTAGTAGTTCCTGGGTTCCACCCGTTTTGGTTTGAGTGTTTTTCGTTGGGCTTCGACTTTTGCTCGGCACCTTCTGGGAAAGGTATTCAGAACCACTGGAAATCAATCATAGTACATAGCACAGCTGGTATTTTGATGAAACCAATGAAACTCATTCTTTTCCAGCACCCTTGTTTGAGAGTTGGGCCCCGGTCTCAACTGGTGACCGGTCGGAGGACCGCAATTCAGCATCAAAACGCGCATGAAACAAAGCGAGCAAATTTGTAGGTAGCATTGGGGACACCAGGTGTGCGTGAAACGGGTGCTTTGGATCAACTCCTACACTCAATCTGGCAGCGTCTGCTCTGGCACAGCACCTCGCAAAATGCCAGAGCAGTGGGCTGCTGGGGCCATAAATGAGCACTGTAGTTGGGCTGCTCGGAGTGTGCCGCTTCTATTTTTTGGCAGAAAGCACGATAATCTCAAGGATCATATCCTTCTCGTGCGAGCAACCCAAAGCAACTATACTGCCTAATTTCTGACAAGATTGTTGGGTTTTTGGGTTGTTCAGGCACTATGAGCCATGGTTGTTACCCGTTCCAGTCATCATATGCAAAGGCGCTGATCACCGTTTCAATCACCGACCTGTACCGTTTCCAAGGTCTCCAATGGCCATCAAAAACGACGGTCTCTCAACAACTGGGACAGCAACCTTGAGTTCGTGACCTCCTTGGATTGGAGTCTCCAATGGCCATCAAAAACATGGTCTCTCACGGTGCTAGCACCGAACTGGTTCGTGACCTCCCTTGGAGTGGCATTCTTGACCGAACATGGGATCGAAGGAGGGTAAGGTCCAGGTCGGCGAAGGAAGCGGCCAGTCCTAGGGCTTCACGTTGCGTCTCGTCAAAGGATAATTTGATGGCCTCCTTAATGCGACTGCAAAGGACCTGGTCCGGACGGTCCGGATGCTGGCTTCCTGTGTTTGCTGAAACACGACCATACCCGAAAAAAAGTAATAAACAAAATCAGACCATGTGGACTGACACAAAGGCTTTTGGAATTCAAACAGGCTTGTAGAGCCAATGACTCGAAATGTGGCCACCGTTTCGCGTGTGGTTTCGCGCTCTGGCTCAGCACCTGAAGGTGGAACAACTTCTGTGGATGCTCGCAGGTCCTTGGTTGCTTGGCTTGCAACATCCCAATCCAGAACAGAACGTCTCCACAGGTCCTGGGCGTCTGGTTTAAGGTGGCAACATGCTTTCCAGCCATTTTAGAGGGTGGGTGGGTGCCAGGAGGGTCCAGTCATACCTTCTGAGGAGGTACTTGGAGGTGTAGGGGTTGTGTTCTCTCTGAATTAGTCAGTGCTGGCGGTTACCCCTACACAGCAGCAATGTTCATTTTCTTCACAACCATGTTCTTCACAACCACTGTTGGTACTTGATATGTGTCGCTACAGCACCCTTTCGGCCCCAAATGGATTAGAAAACAGTATACAACAACACCAGGCTGCCGGTGAGTTCGGGTCCAGGCCGGTCGGACATGGGTTTTTTTGATGGGGTCCTTCATGGGCGATTTGTAGCGCACCTTTTGGGATTTACAGCGGGATTGAATCCCGAACTGCTAGCTGTTTTGAGGACTTTGATATACTTTTACACGGCAAAACCAGGTCCATACCAGGATCATCCAATGGGTCTCCGATGGAGGTCCACAAGTAGTGTCGGGTAGTCGGACACCGCTTGGATGACCCAGGCAATCGAACTTGAAGGCCAGGGTAGATGTAGCAGTTCCAAGGCCCACGACTTGGATCCACGGCAATGCACACCGTCTCGTCTCCCAAGAATCTATGCATATACACGGATGATCAAATCAAACCCCCAATGCTGCCCCCAACATACCACCTTCCAAAGTGTTCAATGAGATCTGGTGTAGGTGAGTCTAGGTGTAGTCCACCGTGCGCGGCACCGGTCGAGGGCTGAGCAGAGCGGAGCCGAGCAGCTCTTCGGTGACGCGGATCACCGAGCGGATGCGTCTGGGGCAGCTGAACTCGAAGGCCGGGGAGCGGCCCTGGGGCGCGCGAGAGATCGGGGAAGAGGAGGTCGTTGAGCGGATGTAGGCGCCTGGCCTTCCTGGAAGGAATCAGGGGGTTCCATCAGGTTCTAATACTCTAAACGGGTGTTGAATGGAGATGGGAGACCCCGAAGGATGGTGCTGGTACTCTTTGATATGCCCTGGGCTCCAACGACCTTCTGAGAAGGTACTTCAGGTGCCTGTAAGCTTCCCGTTTGGGCTCCTCTCCCATATCCCCCATATAGCCCCGGCCCCATCCCTGTCCCGCCGAACCGAAACAGAGGTAGGCCAGGAGCCCAAACTTGTATAGGACATTTCAGGGCTGCAATTGCCTAGCTTCTGCTTGCAAGTGCGGTTCCAAGAGCTTCTCTCCTATCAGCAGCCAACGACGAAGACCTTGCCAGATCACAGGGCCTCTGCAGTAATTCCAGTGAATACTAAACTACCTGTTGGGCCCATGTTGTATCCACAGCAAGTACATTATCATCATGACACCCTGGTGACCCTGGTGACCAACAACCTAGACACCCTGGTTCCGAGTGGCATTCTTACGAGTCTCAAACTCTTAGCCATTGAGTGAGTCAGTGAGAAGGAGGACTCAAACAAACTAGAATATAATAAGATATGCCATACGTTGACCCCGGACTTCAACCACCCCAATAATACAGGTCAATACTATGCCTGCATGGAGTGTTTGGGGGATAGATTCGGATAGATCAGTATTCAATAGTACAAACACTATAGACCATTTTGCAGTGGACACTCTTCTATGCCACTCCTGCCGTCTTCTTCCCAGCGTCAGGGCGACTGGCTCTCACCACCACCTGAGGACGCCGCCCGTAGCGCTCTTCAAGACACCCATCGTCAGTGCAACACCCAATCCATGGGGACGGGAAGCTTGGCCGAGAAACTGCCAGGGGTGATGTTACAGGCCTTTTAAATGGTCAAAGGTTGGTCAGTACTCCAGCGCCATGGATTGTTTAGGTAGGTTTCTTGTCCATGAAGTCCTCCATTCCGAAGACCTGTCGACCTGAAACAAAATGGTGTCCTGGGTCTGTAGGGTCTGTAGGGGTTGAGTGGTTGAGTAGTTTATAGCGGCCATACCAGGCTGAAGTGGATCTCTATAGGCACTTACAAGTGAAATGGACATGTATGGCCTTCCAAGCCGTTGGTCTACCAATTGAGAAGTCTTAGAAGCCAAGCTGATTCTCGCTTGTTGAAAGCTGCACATTGCGGGGCTTCAGCTGGGTTGCCACTAAAGGCCTCCACCGCATCTGTCCTCTCAACTCGAAACTGATATCGCAGTGACTTGGCTGTGGGACCTACCCAACTACGGTTTGGAGCTCCAGGTGTTCACCCGACGCAGGCGCCTCCAGTTCGGAAGCCTCCTCCTGATAGGTGCAAAGCTCATCACTCCAGAGAGGTCTCAGGCCCAGCGAAAAGGAGGCTGAGGAGTTGCCCACCTCCACAGCATTCCACGCGCCCACGGTACCCGGATCCATTTGGATAGCCCCCCTATCGAGGAAACTCGATATGTCAGGAGCATGTCCATTCACCATCCCCAAACCTTGGGGGGGGGGCGACCCGCCCTGGCAGCCTGGTTCATCCTGGCTGGCGTTGGACCAACTGTCTGAGCTTCCAAGGAGGTCTAAAACACCAGAAACATGACTCACATGGGGATTTCGGTGGCTGCGACCAGCTCATAGGGGTTACTGAATGTGACTGAGTCACTGATGTTCAGGTCAAGAAACATGCACGTGAACCATATTACATGCTTGGTCGGCCCACTCCAACTCCACACCACAGAGGGTCTCCTCTATAGACCTTCCCTCAGAAAATTGCTGAACGAGAACTTGATCCGCGTGGGAGCTCCTTCCCTCCCCTGTCGTCCAACGATCGAAAACGTGGCTCGCGAGCTCCGCGAGCTCTCCAGACGCGTCGGGTGAACCCCCCCTGAGCAGAAGCTCCCTGCACCTCTCGCCCTGCACCCAGCACCGACTGACTTTCGGGACACTCCATGTCGTTCCCACGTTGCTCACCGGCGGGGTCGTCGCTGACCGGACCGTCGCGAACGAAGGCGCCGAGGCGCGCTGCCATTCCAAACGGTTTCTTCGGAGAAGTCCGTGGTGGCAAAGGCGGTCTCACGCCATTGGGGCGACATGGGCACGGGCAGTGGTAGGCCTCTGAGGTGGGCGGCTACGTCGCGTAACGAAGGGCTGGACAATGGGGTGAGGACGGGGGTGGCAGGGAATGAAGGCCGACTCCCCATCAAGGCTGCGATCCTGGGAAAATAGAGGTTATAAGACATTTGTCTATACCTTTTCTTGTTGAATAAGTGGGGTGTGTCCAATGTCCCAATGTCAGGTATCTTGAGAGATCATGGTCCTCCCCTTGTTACTCCATCTAAGGTGCTAAGGCATCGCAAGGCGGGACTGGATTGTTCCGACCCTCTGGATTCTATGACTTCACCGCTCGTGACAAGGAACCCTCCGGATTGACTGAACAAAAGCAGCAGGAACAGGCTGCAATCAGTCTGGCCAGCTGGCATGGTGGAAATGGTACATCCACCCCCCTTGGCCCGTCGATTCCATCCAATTCAACTTGCTAATCGTGTGGGCATCTGTTTTTCCATGCGTGGATGCGGGTTGGAATTAAAGCAACGCCCTGATGCCACGATGCCACCCTCCTCAGCGCTCCCTACCTGTCTGTTCTTGCTCTGGTGGGTCTCGAAGCTGCAGCTGCCCTGCAGCAAAGATCTCCCGCTGCATGTCGATGCGGCCGGGAGCGCCGTGGAGTGCAGCAGACAGGGCGACCTAGTGGAAGTCAAAGGAAACAAAGCATCGAAAAGGAACCACATGTTCTATTTACCTTAGTGGGTATCCACTGTTCTTTCCATTTGCCTTCCACTTTTCAGAGGTGACGTTCGAAATCATCCGACACGCAGCGCAAGTCTTTCAACATGTTTCTTAATTGGAACCCCGCTTTTAGTAACACCGTTTTCTTTTCAGCCGATCAAAGATATACCTTTTGGAGCTCAGAGCTGTAAGAGCTCTACGCTGAGCAGTGGAGCGATATCTACGACCTGAAAATGACCACGTCGAACTCCAGATATCTCCATGTTTTCCACTTGTTCTGGCTGCACAGAAAAGATAAAAACAACCCATGGGAGCACGACCTTGAGAAAGGACCAGTCAACTAAAGAATGTGTTTGACCAGCAACCCTTATACTTTGGGTAGGGTAACCAGTCGGACAGTTGCATCCCCAACACTGTACAATTAAAACTGCTCTCGGGCAACGCAAAGAGTGCTTGAGTTCATATGCATCGTTCCAACGCAAACGGCATACATACCGTTGGCCCTTTGGATTCACTGCCACCTTCCTATCGAGGGTAAGGATGGAGACGCTGTAAAGCAGGCTTGGAGGGTCCAGTAACTTCTGAGGTTCGGTACAAGTGTGGATCCCGAGGAGTAACTTGAACATGAACAGTACATGAAAAAACTGGACCCTCCAAAGTACCTTGGACCGTGGGGCATGACATGACCCTTTTTCAGGAACAGGTCGCTTGTAACTTGTACCCATTTTCTGAAGTGCTTTTGAGATTCCAGGTCCATAATTATAAACACATCTGCACATGGTGTCCCACCAAAAAGTGGAGAGCACGAAAGCTGGCATCTGCATCTGCACCGACTGTGGACTTGATACGTGAGATGGCTCATGATTCCGCTACCTCTCCAATGCACGTTGAAGAATGCGGAGGTATGCAACATAGTTCAACAGCAAGACCCTCCATGTTAGTAACATACACGAAAGGATGCAGCAAAACTGTTGCAAATCGCTTTGATGTGTGTGATTCCTCGGCGTGGGTGTCTGGAAAACCCATGCACGAACGAGAAGGAACCTTTAAAAACGAGAAAAGCAACAAACAAACGTTTAACAGTTCATCCGAGAACGCATAAACACACGTGCTGTAACATGCAACTTGCAACCGTTGCTGGTTGGGGAAGAAGGCCTTCCCACATCCTGTTGTCATACTAGTAGGGTCAGAAGCCAAGCCGCAGCCACCTCCTCGCAGGGCGCATCCAAGATGAAACGGATCGATGCCTTGGGCAAACAACCATGTGATGGTCTCATTGAGATCAGCGTTTTGGAATGAAGAGGACTTAGAGAGAAAACATGTTGAACACCTTGAGTTCTCCAAACAGCTATGGATATGGCCCGAGAACCTTCTGTTTTCTTACAGACTATTGCCTGTCTGGACCATGGATATCGGAGACTCAAATAGTATTATAAGGAATGTAGATTCAAACTCTGCATGAGGGATGCAAATGGACCATGATTATATATATAACATGAGTCATTCAGCCCTCCCTACTCTCCTCCACAATGATAGGAATGGTGCCAGCTTCTCACTCCAGTGCGATCAAAAAAACGCGTCAGTCAGGCGTATGGTAGGTATGCACTTGGTCTGCTATAAAAGTATTTAGAAAAAACAAAAGCTTGTTGAAGCTGCAGGAGATCAGAACACCCACAGAAGTTTGTGGTCTCCTCTTCTTGAACCAGAAAAATAGAAAACGAGAGGAACCTCTGTGCTTCGCCATGTCATCCACTCCGTCACAACCCGCAACAGAGCTCCCAAAGGTCGCAGCGGCGCCCCTGCGTTTCTTACGTCATGAAAACTGGGCAGTCCGAGGAAACCAGGATCATCATCTCTGCTCTGATTGACACTTTTATATACAGGCAGGGGAGTTACAACACCCGGTCCTGCAATACAATTCAGTGAACACAGGTAACCCAGGTACCTCCTTTCTTCGGATGGTCGAAGGGAGGTGAGTACGCAAACCTGAGAATGATCGAACTGGGACCAAAGGATGTCCGATGTTGGATGGTCCTGGACCCTTAGTTGTGGCAACGCGTCAACCCCGAAATCAGCTTCAGTGGGATTGCTTCGACCATGATTCGACTGAGAAAAACCCTCGATGTGGAGGGTCCAGGAGAATCCAGGCTGATCCCAAAAACACACACCCAAAGAGGTTAATTGAACATATAGGACCTGGAAAACCTGGGGTACCTATATGGGATAGTCGAACTAGGCTTCCTCAACCTCCGTTGGCACCCTCAGCTTCTGCCACGCCACAATCTCGCGGTAGCGGGTCTCCTCGACCCAAGCAGGAGAGCCTGGCGCCTCGTCCTCTCCTCTCCGCCGCAGCGTGCGCGCGCGCGGCAGGTCGGGTGCCGGTGGCAGGAGCTGAAGAAGTGGCACGCCGTTGGCTTGAAGACCTGGGACGCCGTCGACCGTGCCCGGACACTTGGACCGAGGGACATGACCACGGCGTTGGCTCGGCCGGGTATGTTTCAATGACACTGGCGCCAAGGTGCCCAAGTGAGTCGTGACACATTAAGCTGCGACTTCAACCGGTAAGCTGCGACTGGTTCACTGTTTTGTATATATAAATAGCTACGACCTGTATATGACCTCTATATATTTTAATCTATATTAGACCACCCACCAAACCGACATATGGTCTACATCAAAACTGGGTTCCAGTATGTTCCAGTGGCAATGTAAACTGCTTCTATGCTTGTCAAGAATGGTCTCTCAAAGTTGAGGACCAATTCACTCCAAAAGGCTTGGAAGAGCTCCTGCCTTCGCGCAAGCGCAGCCTCGCAGCTAGTCCAGTTCTTGTCTGAACTCAAACCACTGGATCCCCCAATCTCTCCCCATCTTGGCCCCCCCATCGCATGCCTTCCCGATGTTACCCCAACGTCTGCCCGTCTGCCCAAGCGACTGACCCAGCCCAGCTCGGGCCCAGCGCCCAGGAGCTTCCGGTAGCTGAGACGGTCGTAGCCTCTCCTCGGACGGCGGTCGACTCGACGGGCCGTGGGGGTTGGTTTTTGGGTCGTTTTGGGGAAGTGACGTTTCTGTTTTCTTGGTACGACCTCCAAGCCCAAGCAGAAGACCTCCAAGCCCAAGCAGAAAACAAGGGGCTTCTTCAAAGCATGGCTTAAGATGCTTGGAAGAACTATTAAGTCGGAAGTGGCTGGGACCGGGGAAACATCCAGCTTGATGAGACGCTTGGTGCTCTGTGCAACTGTCCCCCCTATAGGCCCCAGGGCAAAAATAGAAGCTGATGGTACTACTATGGATTCTATGAGGTTCTTGGAGGATCTAGGGAGCAAAGGTGGAAAGCAACACGAACAAAGAAGAGCACACATCCCCAACAATCCATGTATTAACTAATTGCCTACATTGGGGTGGTTTTAAGACGTTTTAAGTTTTAAGGGTCAAAGATCCTCTGTGGAATAACCGGTGGGGGTTGAGAACGCCATTCTATAGTGATAAATGGTTGAACCAACCTCTGGGAGCAAAATGCCCCACTATAGAATCTAGCTTTCAACCCTTGTACAATACAGCATAGTTTCTCTATAGAATAAAGGGGGTCACCCTTGAAGGAACTAATGTAACAGAATTGTAGGCTCAAAATCTGAATTATCTAATTGAAACAGCCAGGGGTGGTTCTCATTCTATAGACTAGTGGGAGAAACAGCATCACTCTGCGGAGGAAGCGGGCTGAGACTATAAACTCAAAACTCAAGACTCCACAAATTGAAGTGCTTTCTATGGAATCAGAATCCAACCTACCTCACTGTAAAACATCCATCCACTCTAAAGTAAACTCTCAACCTTCTACTGCTCCAGGTTCTCTCTATAGAATCAAAATATCTGTCCTCTATAAAATGCCCTCAATTGTCATATATTCTCTATAAAATGAGGGTGGTCAACCTAGTGATCCATCAATATATGATTCTCTCACCTCAGATATCCTCAGAGTGGATCTGTTTCAGGTAGGTTGACTTTTGATTCTAGAGAAAAGTTTCTATAAAATGCTAGGTCATTTTGGAGCTCGACCTCCCCCATTCTATAGGGGTTATTCGGCAAGGGATGGTCAAAGTATATGTTTCACTGGATTGTTGGGGATCTATAAGAGCTAGCTCCTTTTTCAAGATTTGAACACGCGTTTTCTTTTAGGGCTCGCAGCTGTTCTCGAGTGACGGGGTGCCATCATGACCCCTGACGACACAGTCAAAAGGGGAGATCCCCACAACGACGGTGACAGCCCAGTCCTCTTTCTCTCACCCTAGGGATCCAAGTACCTTCTCAGAAGGTACTTAGACCCTCAAAACCTACATAACAGTGCTCCAATCACCTTCTGAGAAGGCACTTGGTCATAGTTCAACAATCCAGAACCCGACACCCGACATTGCGGTGACCCCCCAAATCCCCCCCCACTCAACCCGCAGGGGTCCAGACCACTCGGGTCTGGAACCACACCCTCCGTCCGCTTCAATCGCTTGAGTCACTTGACCATCCCAACACAGCCACCCAAGAGGGAGGGCCCACGGGCCGAAGAGTCCCAAACGATCCGAATGGGCTCCAGTCGCTTTCGAACCGCTTCGGTTTGGTGGGACGGTTAGGGTGGGTGGGTGCCCGGGTGTCGGGTCCAGTCATACCGAACCTGAGGAGGTACGACTGGAGCTGTAGGGAATAGGTCCGGGAAAAACAAACCAGCAGGGCCTGTTCAAGATAGCTCAAAAGAAGAGTTCCCTACCAGGAGTCACAGAGCGAACTGCCAAACGAACGGAGGAAGGAGTTGGGTGCCCCGTCGTCACATCCACGAGCCACTGGATGGGACTAAAGACCGCCCCGTCTTGTGACCCCTGCTATAACCTAAATGATCCATGTTGGCCTGCATGTTGGATTCCTTCCCGCACGCGTCGCGAAGGCGAAGGGTTCTCGGTGTTGACTTGTTGTTTCTGGTGGTGAATGTAGGCTATATGGATCATCTGGGCAAGTCTGGGCTACTTTCTTTCTTGCAGTCCGTGAGAAGGTGCTAAGGATTGATGTTGGAGAGTGAAACTCAATCAAAATACCCTTCGAGGTGGCGAGGTGGTTTGAAGGGCTTCAGGTTTTAGAACCCACTCTGCCTGTTTTGAATAGTAGCATTGGATCCATCACCCTGACTGATCATTCTCCAGGTATAGTTCCTGAAGTGTGTAGAACCATGGCAGAACCCAACGAATGAGTCTTCTGCACAGGACGGGTCTTTCCATCTGGAATACACTCCACATATATGGAATATATACCTTAGCATCAACAAAAGAATAGATATGCAATATATGTGATAGTCAATATATTAATGTAGAAAAAAAGCAAAACACATCAGTTCAACAACAAATGCGTGAACAACGGATTCGATGGTTGCCTCATACCTAGGCAATCGATCTCGATCGAACCTTTCGAAACCGCCGGACGATGCGACGAAGTCGTCGCCATGTGTCACTCCAACGATCTTCTCCTCCTGGCGGCTGAGCATGTGGGCGGCCCTGTAAGACCAACGGCTCTCTGCCCTCGATATTCGTATTTATATACACAAGACAAACAAATAACCAAGAATCTAACGTTAACACATCGCAAACAAGAATTGAAGACATTGATCGTCATTGATTTTACTATACTATAAGGAACCAAACATTATATACCTGGAAAGGCGTGATTATATAACAAAAAAAACATGCACATTTGGGTTCCCTGATATGCAAATCCATGTTATAACCTACGTGAATGGGTGATGAAGTGATGAATTGATGGCCCCCTTGATCTCGACACAATCCCGGTGAAACCCCACCGGCGCCTCGACCACTGCGCCCGTAGCCAAGCGGTTGGGCAACGCCTTGGCCGTCAACTCGGCACCTGCAGCTGATGTGTTCGCATGCGCAGTGAGGCAAGTTCTATATAGAAGCCTCTGGGATAGCACCATTATGGTATGTTTGAATGGTCGCGAAGAACAAACAACAGTTTTGCGGATTTTAGACGGTGACGAACCCTTTGGTCGGCTCGAAGGGCCATTTCATCGCCTCTTTAAGGTCACAGGGAGCCGGGTCGGGCATCTGTCCCAGAACATGCCCCTATGGTCCAGAGCCTGGACTTCACAGATCCACGCCCAGCCGGAACTCCCGGGTACCTTCCAAGGTCTCTTTGGAGGCTCGGGTACCTTCCAAGGTCGATTCCGAGCTAAGAGCTGGCACGCTGTGCTCGACCGGTCCATTGGGTCGTCACCGGACTTCAAGGAACATGAATACCAGACTTGGATCGTTCTCCATCTTTCAAAAGTCCACTGGCAGGCACCGGCAGGCCGTTTTGGCAAGTTTTGGCCAGTTTGTTTGGAGAAAGACATGGTCCAAGGATGTCAAAGGTGGTCACCTGACACGGAGAGTGGATGAGACCAGTCCGTCAGTCGGTGCTGTAGGCCCGGAGAGCCATGGTCGACAACGCAGTGACTGGTCGGTAGCTGCAAGGGGATGGGTTGAGAAACAAGAACTAACAGGAAACAACCAGAAACAAACAGGAACTAACAGGAACTAACTAACCAGGAACTAACAGGAACTAACAAGAACTGACACACTCCAAATCCACCCCAACCAAGAAACACATTGTGCAGTCAAGACAAACTTGCTTTGTTGAAAACAATCCCTCTCAAAACAAACATATTAATATATGTATTTGTCCTGCATTATAAGTTCCCAAAACAATACTCTCCAAATTCCAAGCCATATTTCCTCCATACATTATTTTGTTTGTAAATCCCAACGTCTGCCTCTAAAAAGCTCAGAAACTGTCTGTCTTCAACAAGCACAGAAACACACAAAAACAAGCTGCCGCAACAAGTTCTCACCCTTCTATCCAGAATCCTTTCCGTCCCCCCAAAAGAACAACAAGATGATTCATGATGATTCCTATTCCTACCCTGTTCCTAACCCCCCCGCTGCACCGAATGGGCCGGGCCGTGGCCAACGGCGCCACGCATGGCCACCGCGCGCCCCGCCGACTACCGCCGTGCCTTCCCGAACTAAGAGCCCCCCCGAGCTGGTGCCGCCCACGACCCGCCAGCGACGCCGCATGGTGCCAGCCCATGGTGCCAGCCCATGGCGCGCCGAGAGGCGGGGGAACGGGTGTGAATTCGGAGAAGCTGGCGCCCAGTGGTGGGAAGACCCTGAATTTGATTGGTGTGAGTCTGCTAGGTTAGTGAAACAGTGAATGAATGGTATACTTGGTTAGTTACCAAGGGTACATGCGTTGCTGGAGGTATAGTTGGTATAGTATGGTGTAAGTGTAGTTGTGTTTAATGATCATATGTCGGGCCTCAGGAAAATTAACATCAAGCTCCGTAGAAAAGAATTCCACAAGGGGGTTGTTGGTGATTGATCTCGATTCTTGATCTATGAAGGGTGATTGGTTCTTCGGGTTGCTATAAGATCCGGAGATGGATGAGCAGGCGGCAGGCGATGTAGCCAGGCCACATCATCGACTGTACAAGGAGCTTCTAATCAATCTTCCATATCCTTCACAGGCTTCCTCTCATTCTGCTCCACTGGGTGGCTTTTATAAACCAGGGGGAATATGTGGCAACCAGTAGTTCCAAAGACTAAACCTATCGACTCAGATGTGTCAGATATCAGATATGCTTTGATGTCTTCTTGCTACCCACTATAACCCCCCCCGTGTTCAACGAGAAAACTCTCTTGTCACCGTCCCACACCGTCCCCACGCGAACCCGGCTCCTTCCGGCCGCCTCGCCTCACCGCCGGACTCGCGGACTCGAACCCGGCCTCACCGGAGAGAATGGAGCTGAACTTGGGACGGCCAAAACAGTTCGATGTTTAAGAAGGTACGATGTGTGTGTTTGGTTTGTTTGGGACGATGACCTTCTTGGGACGATGTGTGTTTTGTTTG